ACCAAGAGGTGGTTCCATGCTCCTCAAAACCTCCCGACCAGAGGCCCCGCTGTCGGATGCAGTCCATCGTCTTACCCAGGATGCGGATGTAGTTTATCGTCATACCCAGGACGGTCTGCTGGTATGAAGAATTGTCGAAAATGTAACATTTGAGAAGAATACGCATGATAAAAATGGTATTCTGCCCAACAATAAGGAAAAGTAAGAAAAGAAAGAGCGATTCAAGTTAAAAAAAAAAATTTAAAAAAAAACTTAAGTGAGAAGCCGTGTCGGTAAGGTTTAGAGGTCCTTGTTGAACAGGTGTGAGTAGCTGCGCGTGTTCAGTCACGGCATCGACAGAGGGTGGTTCTACACATGTCCGAAGAACAAGAAGAAGTCTACAAAGTGTGACGGGGAAATCAGTGTACCGGTAAATGGGAGTCTCATTCTGTTGACACGCACAAAACGCTGTTACGCCGGCTACATCCCTCTCTCACACCAACAACGCCACCACCCTCACGTACTCACATAATCCAACTTATTCACCCCCACCAACCACCTAACAGCCACTCTATCCCGTGGTTCTCATAGCTAAGAGGTTGTCGAAATGGTAAATGGTAATGGGGTGATGGCGAAGATTATATTGTAATGGATCAAGCGGAGAAGCTAGTACGGTGGTGGCCATGATATATTGTGAGTTTGCCTTTAATGTTTCGGTTGGACGAACAGGGATGACAGGAAAATGACGTTTTCCTTTTCAAATGGTTTTAATGGCAAATAATCGAACTGCAGATTCGGCTGCAATTAACCAAATGGCAATAATAATAATAATAATAATAATAATAATGTCACATCTTTAGCGCTTGTGAAATTCTTCTACAGAAAGAATACAGGTGTCGCCATGATAAACTAGCCTTTCATGTGCATCGGTGCCTGTGTGGGAAGTATGGACTTAAAGCCGAGGAGAAATGGTACCGCCACAAGCCAGATGTGATCGAAAACGATCAAGTCAATATCGGCTGAGATTTCAACATCCACACAGGCCGCGTCGTTGAGGCAGCCAAAGCGAACACCTCCATCATTGACAACAGTAAAAACAAAACAAAACAAAAACCAATAAAAATCAAGTAAATGCTTCCCCATTGACGTGGCTGGTCCTCGAGACCATAATATGAAAGTCAAATAAATTGACCTCAAGAAATACACCGATACCAGCAAGGAAATTATCACTATGTGAGGCGTTTAGGCCGCTCTTGTCCAATTTGGGAGGACTCACTATATATATATATATATATATATATATATATATATATATATATATATATAGGTAGCCCAAAATAATGGGAACTTTTAACAATCCAATAAAACCAACAGTGATGGAAGAAAATATTTTATTCATAGCAATTGAAACCTTAAAATATGCCATTTAAGAAACAATGATGGAATTTTCATTTTTTTTAAATTATGTCCTGTAGATGGCGTCCTCCTGTACGAATGCATTCTTGAAATCTGCTGTTGAGATCCCTCATTGACTGCTGCAACATCTCAGCTGGGATACTGTGAATTTCATCTTGAATTCTAAATGGCGAAATGTTTACTTGATCAAGGTCACTGTCTCGCAGTGTTGCCACTTGCTCATGTCTGGCAATACGTACTTCAAAAATTCCCCTTTTTGGGGAGTGTCACCTAAATATTATATATATATATATATATATATATATATATATATATATATATACATATAAAGCAAAAAAAGGTGACGGTGTGAAACAAGAGTGCTTGTCGACAGCAGTTTGGTGAAGAATGGATGGGGTGTTAAATGTTGACTGGTCTGTGGAGATTTTTTCTTGCTTCATAAACACAGGTCAAAAGTTTAGACACACCATCTCACAAGCGTCCTAAGAGTGAGAGGTAGAGGAGGAAAGGTGGAAAGAGGGGATAGTAATACGTTGGAGTAGGTAAAATTCCAGCGATAGTTTTAGTAGTAATTGGGAATGTTATTTTGGTTTACTATAAAAAGTCTAGAATTGAATTGCATATATTCATATTGGGGTATATATATATATATATATATATATATATATATATATATATATATATATATATATATATATATATATTTATATTTAGGCAGCATTCCTTCCTTTATGCATGTTTTTTCATTAAAAACGACAGACAAGAGTACTACGGTTGAGCTTTTATTTAATTTTTCTTGTGTTCTGACAAGAGCTTTCTTTTCTGGACAAAAGAGTATTTGTAAGAACTGTCCAAATGTTCTGTATTTCCGACAGTTTCAGCTATACCTTTACCAATCACATGTTTCATTATCAGCTTAGTAGACGTCTGTTCTGTACACCAATCTGGTAGTGATGTTTTAGTTTCCATCAGTTACACTTTGTTCATAAATATTGTTACTTTTTTTTTTTTAGAGCTTCCATTATTTTTATTTTTTTTGCAAGTGGATGCAGTTAATATATTTGTGTTTTTAGTATGTTCCTAATAGAAACACAAATTATATTAACTACATTACACCTATCCACAGTTCCATCAAAACACATTTAAAAATACCCGAGGAAACACAAATATATTAACTGCGTCCACTTGCAAAAAGACTAAAAATAAGGAAGCTCTAATAATAAAAAAGAAAAGCCAACTCTAACAATATTAACTATGAACAAAGCCACAACGTGCTAACCGTATTCGAAACTAAAAACATCACTACCACACACTGAACATACACAGAACACACACACTCTACTAAGCTGATAATTGAATCATCCTGATAATGGCTAAAGGTATAGCCGAAAGCGCTCGGAAATACAGAACATTCGGACAGTTCTTACACACTCTTTGTCCAGAAAAGAAAGCTCTTGTCAGAACACAAGAAAAATTAAATAAAAAGCTCAACCGTAGTAGCTTCTCTGTCGTTTTTTAATGAAACATGCATATATATATATATATATATATATATATATATATATATATATATATATATATATATATATATATATATTGTGTATTTTTTAATTGATGCATGTTTCATTAAATAATATAGACAAGTGTTGTCTATTTTATGTAAATTCTTTTCATATCGTCTGATAAGCTTAATAACATTATCATTAAAAGAAGAAAGAAAATCACAATGTTGATACATATTTTTTAATCCTATCTAAGCTTTCGGCTTACATGAGCCATTATCAAAGATGACAATTACATTACAATATATTAAACAATACACGGACAAAACGATAAAGATAATCAGTTTTTGTTTACATGGAAGATTTCCAGGCAACAACAAACTCGTACAAACGAGATGCTGGAAGCCAAAAATCGCACCGCAGCTCATGATGTCACACATGACTAGCAAAAAAATCGTATACTACACTAAATCTAGTATATCCATCTCAATTATTCGCAATGATTCTTCTTCCTCGGTTAGAGATTTGCAAAAAATAGTGTACAAATTCAAGTGCCCTTTGGGAGATTGTATCTCCAACGGATTAAATAATATTCATGTTGGTCACACCACAAACTCGCTTTCATGACGCTTGACACTACATTTGAATGATAACTCTAACATTTTTAGGCATTTAAAACAACATACATGGCCGGATATACAATTCCGAAAACTCCTCGTTGAAAACACAGCTATACTTAAACATGAAAACAATAAACAAAAACTAAAAAATATTGAAGCTATATACATAAAACAGTTGAAATTTAAACTTGAACAAAATAAACTATGAAATCTTCACAAATATTCTTAAATGCCTATAATTAATAACAGAAGCCATTGGTTTATACCAACGGCTTCCCATATCTAATACTTCCCGTTTTCACTCTTGTGGTCATGTGTGACGTCATGTGCTGCAGTGCAATATTCGCTTCCGCGTCTCGTATACACGAGTTTGTCGTTGCTTGGAAATCTTCCATATAAACAAAAATGACTATCATTATTGTTTTGTCCGTGTATTGTTTAATATATTGTAATGTAATTGTCATCTTTGAAAATGGCTTATTGTTGAAACTTGGATAAGCATGGAATAATAATAATACAACACAAAATGTACGTTAACAAAATGTATTGAAACAAGGAAAAGGTACACAATATTTACAGTTAGTTTTGGTATATTCTTGGGAAGACTGTTCCTGCATAATGGGTTGACTAAATCGCAGTCGGGCAGAGTCTCTCGATTCGATCTCTTAATCTTCCCCCGTCTTCCGGTACCAACCCATATTTATATGGTCAGTACTCCACTTATGTAAATTAGGTGTATCATACACAACACTTATATAATCCGAAAGCTTCGATAGGATTAAAAAAATATGTATCAATATTGTGATTTTCTTTCTTCTTTTAATGATAATGTTATTAAGCTTATCATACGATATGAAAAGAATTTACATAAAATAAATAGACAGAACTTGTCTATATTATTTAATGAAACATGCATCAATATATATATATATATATATATTCAAAATATTTACATTGTTCGTACAGTTGTTTTTATATTTATTGACATATTCACGGTGATTTAGGTGATTGGAAATTCGAATTAATCCCTTTATTTGGTCCCCCGCGATAGAATGTTTCAATCTACCAGGGTGGAGGCAATAAAGGATTTAGTTCGAATTTCCAATCACCCAAATTTCAAATTGCTTATTTCCATAATTAGACCAATAAAATATCTTAATATATTGTCACATTCAGAAACATAGTTCTATTTGGTTAATAAATCTAAAATTTACAAGGTCATCAATGGTAATGCATTTTTTGAACATTATATATATATATATATATATATATATATATATATATATATATATATATATATATATATATATATATATATATATGTATTTGTAAATGCAAGTGTAAAGTAGCATTAATCTGTATTTATTTCTGTATATATATTTTTGCATCTATCTATCACAGTATTGTTTCCTTATCTATCAGTCATTATGTTCTTATTTACCTACCCTCTTTTTCCTTCCTGTCTATTCATATCGATATAACTATGCAACTATCTAGAAATGTTCATCTATCTATCTATCTATCTATCTATCTATCTATCTATCTATCTATCTATCTCTTCATGTTAATTATCTATCTCAATCTGTTTCTATCTATCTATCTATCTATCTATCTATCTATCTATCTATCTACGTTCTACGTTCATCTTATTATGTTCCATCTATCAATCTATGGAAGTCTGTTCCTATCTATCTATCTATCTATTCTATCTATCTATCTATCTATCTACGTTCATTATCTATCTTATTATCTTCCTATCTACCCATCTATGGAAGTCTGTTCATATCTATCTATCTATCTATCTATCTATCTATCTATCTATCTATCTACGTTCATTATCTATCTTATTATGTTCCTATCTACCCATCTATGGAAGTCTGTTCATATCTATCTATCTATCTATCTATCTATCTATCTATCTATCTATCTATCTATCTACGTTCATTATCTATCTTATTATGTTCCTATCTATCCATCTATGGAAGTCTGTTCATATCTATCTATCTATCTATCTATCTATCTATCTATCTATCTATATCTCTTCATTAATTATTTATCTCAATCTGTTTCTATCTATCTATCTATCTATCTATCTATCTATCTATCTATCTATCTATCTATTCATCTATCTATCTATCTTATTATGTTCCTATCTACCCATCTATGGAAGTCTTTCATATCTATCTATCTATCTATCTATCTATCTATCTATCTATCTATCTATCTATCTATCATCTACGTTCATTATCTATCTTATTATGTTCCTATCTACCCATCTATGGAAGTCTGTTCATATCTCTATCTATCTATCTATCTATCTATCTATCTATCTATCTATCTATCTATCTATCTATTCATTATCTATCTTATTATGTCTATCTATGGAAGTCTGTTCATATCTATCTATCTATCTATCTATCTATCTACGTTCATTATCTATCTTATTATGTTTCCTATCTACCCATCTATGGAAGTCTGTTCATATCTATCTATCTATCTATCTATCTATCTATCTATCTATCTATCTATCTATCTATCTCTATCTATCTATCTATCTACGTTCATTATCTATCTTATTATGTTCCTATCTACCCATCTATGGAAGTCTGTTCATATCTATCTATCTATCTATCTATCTATCTATCTATCTATCTATCTATCTATCTATCTATCTACGTTCATTATCTATCTTATTATGTTCCTATCTACCCATCTATGGAAGTCTGTTCATTCCTATCTATCTTCATCTATCTATCTATCTATCTATCTATCTATCTATCTATCTATCTACGTTCATTATCTATCTTATTATGTTCCTATCTATCCATCTATGGAAGTCTGTTCATATCTATCTATCTATCTATCTATCTATCTATCTATCTATCTATCTATCTATCTCTTCATGTTAATTATTTATCTCAATCTGTTTCTATCTATCTATCTATCTATCTATCTATCTATCTATGTTCATTTCCTATCTTATTATGTTCCTATCTATCCATCTATGGAAGTCTGTTCATATCTATCTATCTATCTATCTATCTATCTATCTATCTATCTATCTATCTATGTTTATTAATGGCTGTCTGTGTATTTAAGTTTGTTCGTGTCTATCACATTCATTTAGGTTTGTTCATATCTATCTATCTATCTATCTATCTATCTATCTATCTATCTATCTATCTATCTCAGTCTACTCATATCTATCTATCTATCTATGTTCATTATCTCTTTATCTTTCGCATTCTCTTCCTATCTATCTCTCAATTTATCGTTACTCATATATACTTGTGTTTCAGAAATGTAAGAATGATATTTAGCGCTGCCTATCGATGTATCGAACTAATAATTTCAAATCTGACTGGGTGTCTCACTGCTTTGGTTTAAAAGCATAAATCACTTTTCTATATTCTTTTGATGTAACATCTGCTTTTTTATTTTTCCCATGAATATTTAATATTTGGCAAAGCAAGAGAGCAATAAATAAGAAGAAATATGCGCCTAAAATATGTTGGGCCGTAAATTTACCGACTCAAGATGAATGGAGATAGGATCGGGGAAAATGAAATATTGAAAGATTTGCAAAGGAAATTTATGTCCCAGCGTCGGGGGCAAATAATCAAAATTTTGTAGTCATCATGTTTCACAATTCAACAGAGAATAAATGCGAACATTAATGTGAACTGTTTCTGTTTATTCGTGAAGGAATTTGATGACATGAACACCTGTCAAATATGCATTTTAATGCTTATAAATAAATATGCATATCCCTTTGATGTCCTGGTATGTCTAGGTCACTATGGACATATTAGGCCTTTTCGGAAAGTAATGTCGTAATTCACCGCTATGAGTTATGAGTCAACCAACCAAGGCAGAACGAGGGTTGAATAGTGCGAAACTGCGGCTAGAATTATTTTATCATCACCTGTTTCCGACTGTGTTGTTTATAGTGCATTTCACAGTTTAACCCCATTGGGGATTAAAGATATTTTTAAAACCACCATATTACCTATTATTATTATTATTATTATTATTATCTGAATTCTAAAATAACGGCACAGTACACGTTTAACAGATCAACAAATAAAATGTACACGGTTAACAAAGTAACAAATAAAATTTATACGGTTAACAAATAAAATGTTCAAATTTATTCATTTCGGGCAAAAATGAAGAATTCGAGAAAACAAGGGATAGTATTATTAACAGAAACTAATTGTGGCTCAAGGACATTAATGTTGAGAACTTACTGAAGATAGAAATCTACTGTAAGCCCTACATAGCACTATTTCATGGTACCACTCCAATAGTTTAGTCTGGTATAAGCTTAGTCGGGTGTAACAGCAAAAATGTCCATATGTAACAGTAAAATTGTTAAATTAAGCTTTGTATCTTAGAAATGATTAAAGATATCTTACTGGAATTCTCTGAGGTTTTTATAACACTATTGGGGTCTACTTTGACCAATAAGAATGTATTTAGTTGAAATGATGACCCCTCTTGCTGTTGTGACCCCTGATCCCATTTTCCCCTCAACTGCTCCCCCTTTTTTAAACTTATTCGCCGTTTTCTTGATGGTTTTTGAAAGGACTTTGAAGAGAAAAGCCAGAGTATGAATGTTGGTACCATTACCGAACGCCTGATTGATCTTTTCCTCTCGCTATTGCTCAATTGGGAAGATATTGTGGGGGTGACACAAAATGATTTTAACCTGTTCTTTTTCTAGCTGAATAAGTCAAAGAGATTTTCAGTGATTCTTACGACAAATGATATCAAAATAGCTAACCGTCAAAAAAGAAACTCAATTAATTTAGTGTTTTTTTGTTTTTTTGTTTTTGTCTTTAGATAATAAACATTTTGTGGGATGGACAATTACTCCATGCTGTTACACGATTTGGATAATTTTGCTGTTACACCTGATATATATATATATATATATATATATATATATATATATATATATTATAAAGAGGTAATTGAATACATTGAATCAATTAGCAATATTAATGCAATTAATGGCGAAATCTCTTCGCTAATAGACTTAATATATACATTAAACTACTAACAATCGACTGAATATTGCAAACCTTATGTATAAAATCGTTGCCAGAAGGATCTCGTGTATTTTTTAGAGCAGCAAGTACTTTCAAATGCTTCATGTCCTCATCATCAGGCTGAATTTTTTTTCCTTTAAAATCAAAACTCGAAGACGAAATAAATGTATTGTAGACGGAAAGATGTTTTTTTTAACAATGTATTATTTATTAACAGTTGTATAATATTGGAACGTGCAAGTCGCAATGCTAAAGTTCAAATATTTTCAAGTGAGAATTTTTTTATAAGTGGATTGTTAGTAGTTTAATGCTTATATTAAGTCATAATATAAGGAACGGAAACAACAAAGACATAAATATATATATATATATATATATATTAGCAATGAAATTTTTACCGAATAAAGATTAGGGTGTAATGCATAAATATTATACAAAGTTACAAAAATTAACATAATAGTTTTTTTTTTAAATAAATATTAAATGGAACAAAGGAAATAAGCTACTGGACAAAAGTTAAGGAACGACCTTGTTAATACTTGATTGTGAACAAAATATCAACAAAATTTAATATTTAATCTTCTATGATTCTCTCACGTACATTCATATCTGCTCAATGCGTATCCAAATGTAAACAAATGACGTCATACATTATGAAATGCTCTGTTTATAATAAATCATGAAAAATTGTAGTTTAAAAACAGTAAAATCGACCTTGCTAACCGAATCGCTCACTGTGGCTAAATCGGTAAAAGCACGTCAGCCTATATGACGGTTCCGTACAGGATACAGGTTCGATTCTTGTCGGAGGACGAAAATTTTCTATGACAATTTCTCGGACATTCAGGACGGTAAATGTTGTTAATACTGTTTATTATAAACAGAGCATTTACTTAAATATTTGTATCTATAAAAAAGAATGTATATACATGTCTTAAAATAATTGTCGGACTTTGTCCATTTAATTAGGTTATTTATGCAAAAGCGAATGCAATGGCTTTGACTTGAACTCAGCACGACCATTACAATTTCCGCACTGATAACCACTACGCCACGTGCACATCCCTACGCCGATTCAATCTACCGACAATAATCTTGAGTGACGGCTTTCGCTAATCCAGGATGACGGATAGGAAAAGATTATATTGTCTTTTCTTGTTCTGGCTGATCTTCGTTTTCTTCCGCTATGCTCACTTCTCAATCGCCCCTTTTCTCTGTAACGCTTCTCTATAGATTTTTTTTTAATTCCAGCCAAACATCTGCTGGCGTTTGTTCCTCCCCATCGCCCTTAGCCTTTCTTTACACCCTCCCCACTGCATCAACTTAGGCACTTTTTTTTGCCCGCAAAATTAACTACATTTATTCTTTCTTAATACAAGTCACACTTTCGTTAATTCGCCTACAACTATATTCTTTTCTCCTTGTCCCTCATTTATAAGTTTCTTGAATAACCCCCTTCTCTTTCTCTCTGCTTCTTTCTCTCTGCCTCTTTCTTTCTTTTTTCTTTCTCTTTCTTTCTTCTTTCTTTCTTTCTTTCTTTTTTCTTTCTCTTTCTTTCTTTCTTTCTTTCTTTCTTTCTTTCTTTCTTTCTTTCTCCGTCTATCTCTCATTCTCTCTCTTTCTCCTTGTCCCTCATTTATAAGTTTCTTGAATAACCCCATCTCTTTCTCTCTGCCTCTTTCTCTCTGCCTCTTTCTTTCTTTCTTTCTTTCTTTCTTTCTTTCTTTCTTTCTTTCTCTCCGTCTGTCTGTCATTCTCTCTCTTTCTCTCCAGATGGATAAATAGATATCAACATAGTTGGGCACCTCGAGGTGGTGTAGTGGTTAAGAAAGCTTGTCTCGCTAGAACAATTACGATTGAATAGTGAGTTCGATCCTCACTGGGTGCCCCATACTTTCGGCCTTCTGCCACATCTAAGCTAATCTTGGAAAATCACTAGATATAAATATAGTGGACACTGCATGATGATTATTATATGTGCCGTGTTACTTTTATTGGTTGGATGATTTTGTTTCGCGGCACATCAACACCTCTATGGGTTATTTAATGCCGAAATCTTTAGATTTTATATGACATCAACAAAATATATTTTGAACTCAGCTGTATGCAATCAACTACAGATAAGACGTATTGTTGGTCATTTTTTATATCGAAAAAAATAATTATTGGTATTTTAATATAAGAATGCATTTTTATACTTTCATGGTGTTTTTCTTTAGATTTCACTATTTGCCCATACCTGGGATCCTAACAGGAGCTACCACCCAAGGTCAGAGTGGATATGGGAACAATGGCAATTAAGAAGTGTTTCCAGGCTCCTCAAAACCTTCAATCTCCCGATCAGAGGCCTTTGCTGCCGGATGGTGTTTATACCCAGAACTACCTGTCTTTGCAGTCCTTCATAAATTCTGTCTTTTTGCCATCTCTCCCAAACCCTGTTCTGCCATCAATTCACTGAAGCTCGCTTGGTAGGAATTTTTTTGCTTTCCTCTGTCTCTTTTACTTTCAATCTGTCCTGTGAGCATCGAATTTTCCCAGCCCTCTTTCTTCATTATGAGTCCCAGAAACTTCAGCTGTCTTTTTCTGAAGTTAAGTAAAAATGTCCTTTTTTTTCCATTATGTCTAGAACTTCATCATCGCTCACATGTTCGGTCTATGGTATTCTCAGCTTCCTACTGTAGACTCACATTTTTGTTGTTTATGGTGACTGGTTCTTTCAAATCTAAAACATATATATATATATATATATATATATATATATTGGACATTGAGGTCTACCTGGATTCTTCCTCTTAAATTTTTATTCTAAAGATATACATGTATGGGTATTTATATATTTTGCATATGTATGTATATTTACCACTAATATTATCCATATATATATATATATATATATATATATATATATATTTCTCTATATATATTCTATATATATATATATATATATATATATATATATATATATATATTCTCTATATATATTCTATATGTTATATATATATATATAACATATAGAATATATATATAGAATATATTCTATATGTTATATAAAAAGATATTGTCTCGTCAGTCATGTATCGAAAGATATATAATCGCCTAAGCGTGTATCACGCATGGCACATAACTGACTGAATAGCGGCTCGAATTGAGGAATCGGAGAGCCGAGTTCGAATTCCAGTTGAATCCATTACATTCACTTACGTGCTAATACCCTTGGGAAAGGTATGAATCCTCTTCCTCTAGCTATGGATGGCAACTGGTCTGGGAGAAGGACAACTCTGAATTCAAAACCTGCGGAGGGTCGTTTAGGAACCTTGTGGCATTCGGTGCACCAGGTCTCTGTATTCGTCCCTTCAAAAAGTGTGGATGGTTCTGCACGAAGCCTTCACCACTATAATCAAAATCTCATGTGCCGGTGTCGGGCTGTCGGTTTCCTGGAAACTGATCTGCTTGACCCTCATACGAACATGTGTAATACAGAAAAATAAAGGATTTCATGCTTCGATGCATATCATCGCATTTCATCAGGCAGTGGTAAATGAGGGTTATTACCAATAATTATTATTATTAATAATAAAGAATTATCGCTCTACTATTAGATGACAATATATACATGCTCCTGAAAATCGGGGTAAAACGTGAATTTGTAAACAGTGACTATTATTGATTGCAATATTCACAAGACTCTTCGTTAAGACGAATCGAGTTCTCCGGTCACTGTCGTCTTTGTCTAAATTCACTTTCAACTTTACCGTGCGCCAATAGATTAGGGATAAAATCTACGTATCAGTTGGGTTTCGATCCCGGCTTGAAGTATCAGATTTCTAGCCACAGTCCTTTAATTCGACTCTCCAAGTTTTTGGATTATCACTGCTGTGGCATGGTACTGAACTCACAATTCTCACATTATGGATGATGATATGTCTCAAAGAACATAAAAGTAGTAAGCGACTTTATTCCTTAACTAGCAGCATGGCCCGGCGTTGCCCGTGCTTGATTCAAAAATCGTACGACTCATACAGCAATCGCTATCACTTGACTTAAAATATTTTTGCCCGTCCTTGCCTTTAAAGGAGTGCCCTTTGCCGTGCTGATGTTGCTACATGCCTTAGATATTGCCTATCTCACACTGCGAATTTTTTCTAAGCTCTATACTAAACATTAAATCTGTTACGAAAAAAGAACTAAACAAAATGAACACAAAACGATCAGCTTTAAAAAAGGACTCGTAACTGGAAAAACCGAATGAAAAAAGAATGTTAACAACAAATACTTTTTCACACCCAACCCACTTCTGCAGAATCAGAACCAACGTTGAGTTTAAGCAAGCGAATGAGCCAGTTGGAGTAAAGTGCCATGCAGATTTAAATTTTTCCCACTTTTGACGAATGCAGCTATCGATATTTTTTGCATGCTAGTTAACATTCGTTTCAGTCAGCTGTTAGCTCTTACGCTGGCCAGTAGAATCTTCCTGCCTATTCGTGGCAGCCAGCTATAGGCTCTCACTCTGGCCAGTAGAAAATGGCCGCAAACTACATGAAAACTGCCGTAGAAGCATAAAAATATCGATTATTTCCGCTATCGATGGGAGTTAAGAAATGCAAAGTCGGTCTTGGCCTTCCCGCCAACTTAGAGCAAATGCATGTAAATTTTGGTGCAAATCCGTCGAAAATTACGGCCGTGCATTTTGTTAGTCACACACACACACACACACACACACACACACACACACATCCTGCCTTATATATATATATATATATATATATATATATATATATATATATATATACCGGTAATAATCTGTTGGTATATAATCCAAGTGAACCCTAATAATATAACATATTAAAACTGATCCACAAAAAGAGCCCATTATTTTTATTATAACAGAGCATATATATACTACATCCAAAATGAGCTCATTCGAATAGCTATTTCGGCCCACAAGATTTACTTGTAAGCCTGATCAATTCAAAGGTTCGAAGAAATATATATATATATATATATATATATATATATATATATATATGTGTGTGTGTGTGTGTGTGTGTGTGTGTGTGTGTGTGTGTGTGTATATATATATTGGGGAAATTGTATGACAAAGCGGAACAAGTTTATTTGTAACGCGTTTCGTCCTTCAGAAAAAAGTTCTAAAATTACCAGCATCCCTCTGTCGTGCGCACGTGTAGTCCTACCAACATAACAAATTTAGTCAGATGAAATCCTGAAGGACGAAACGCATCACAAGTTGATTTTGCCAATTTTTTTATATATATATATATATATATATATATATATATATATATATATATATTCATACGTGTCATTAAATAATATAGACAAGTGTTGTCTATTTATTTTATGTAAATTTTTTTCGTAACATCTGACAAGTTTAATAACATTATCGTTGAACGAAGAAAGAAATTCACAATATTGATCCATACTTTTATTTAACACAATCTAAGCTTTCGGCTTACATAAGCCATTATCAAAGATGTCAATTACAACATAATATAAGGACAAGACAGTGATGATAGTCTGTCATTGTTTACATAGATGATTTCAAAGCAACGATAAACAGGTTCATATCAGACGCTAGAAGCGAAAATCGCACCGCATCTCATGACGTCACACATGACCACACGAGAGTGAATTGGAGAATGAAGTATGGAAAGCCTTTGGTATAAACCAATGGCTTCTGTTACCAATTATAGACATTTAAGAATATTTGTAGAGATGCCATAATTGATTTTGTTTAGGCTGGGTTTCAATGTATATATGTATATGTATGTATATATATTAATGCGGATCAATCCATTTTCTCTTTAGAATTATCATATATACTTATTGTTAGTTTCTTGATAGTAGTATATGTTATAAAAGTAATAGCTTGTTGACATTAAAAATACTTGGAGATATAAAAGCTAAGTGTCATCATTTATCAGTTGTAATTGCTAGATGTGACCGCAAGTTCTATGCTAACTATTTCTTCTCTCGGACATTCAGTGCGACTTTCGAAAAACCAATTAAGTTTTCTGTGTTCACTAATTTTTATTGCTTTTTCCAGCACTGATGGGAGTTTCCTTCCTAACCTTTTGTTTAAAGTGGTGTGAATGTCAACATCTTGATTATGTTATTATTTTCTCTTTAATTTATATGTAATATCCGTTTTAATTGTTATTGTTGTCCTCAAGTGATGTGGTTCCTGTTATGTGGTAAAGAAAGCAAATTTAAAATAACAATAAAAGTCAACATAATATATACTCATAAGCCAGTTTTTTATTGTCAAAAAGGATGACATACTACATGGATTTAAATAACTAGATATAGCCGTAAGTTCTATGTTAACAGTTTCTTCTCTTGCACTTCTCGCTTGTGGAACTCGCTTCCTGCTTCTTACGTTACAGTCAACTTTGATGTTCAAAAATTTAAACGCAATATCAATCGTTAACTTCTGTCTTCTTAATTCCTGTTTGTTTTTTATTGTTCTCTTTCCTTAATAATGTTTTTCTTTATCTTAGATTCTTTCACAATAAATAACCTCTGGTGTCTTATTGGATTTATTGCCTTGCTTGGGGTGAAGTGATATTAAAAATTCCGTTTTTTTTTATTATTAACAACGAGGTATATACAACTGCTGAGTAAATTAACTATGTCAATAACATGGTATTATTCAATGTTCTCTTTAAAATATGGTGTGTCACTACTTTGGATCCCACTTTTAGGTCCTTGTTGGAAAGTTTT